GCAAATACTGTATTTATTTATTACTCTCTCTTTTTTTTTTAAAGTATTTGACGGCAGTGACTGTTGATCCGATCCTGTATTTTCCCCACTACAATGTACAAGTTGCGATACTCAGGCACCCATTTGCTGGAACATCAATCAAGCTAGAGAAAGAGAACAATAGTGTCCCATACCACAAGCCACAAACTCAAGAAAATAACAAAACTGTTTCATGCTAAAAAAAAAAGAAAAAAAAAAAAGAAGAAGAAGAAGAAAAAAAAAGGAAAAAGAAGAAGAAGAAGGGTATGGACTGCACTTCCAAAATATACTAAAAAAGAATTCCATTAATGAATAAAAAAAAAGGGAAAAGTTTATATACAGCCAAAGGCTCTAAACAATTAAATTTGAGCCTACTTCAAAAATTTCACTAGAGTAGGTTGTTTTGATGCCCAAATATCTTCAAATTGATCATATTGACATCAAGATGCATCGACATGAGAAAAAAATGGATTTTAAGATCATCTTGAAATAGTGTATTTTGTAATGTATTTTTTGACCATCAATTTTCAAGATTTTCAAGTTTTCATAGATTTGTCGATCTACACTATTTTTTAAGCTTTAAACTTTATAAATGAAGATGAAAATATGTTTAAAGGCTATCCTAAAGATTTCAAGTATTGAAACAACATTTCTCAATACTATTTGAAGGTAGACTCTAATTTAATTGTTTAGAGCCTAGGCTCTAAACAAACCGCACCCATAGAAAAAAAGAAGAAGATGGGAATCATCTTTGGGACATATGCACATACTCCACAATATTGATAAAAACAAAAAGAGCCCCATTAATAGATACAACGCATGGATATTTTTAAGCAGCTTGAATCTCCTCTTGAACCTCCCATGACTCAACACAACTCAACTCAATGCCATGCTCCTCAGTCTATAAATGCACTACTTTCCTGCAAAAATGCGTACGTCAGTTTTAGAACACTTACAACCTTGAAACCTTCAAGATGTTATTTCGTAGATTGAGAGAGTGAGAGAGGGAAAGATAGACTGCAAATAACCCATCAATTGCAAACTGCCCATTGGGTTTCCATTTTTTTTTTTAATCACATAAAAGTTTTATGAGCTAAAAAGGAAACATGAAAACCATAAATAAGTCAGTGGCTAATCCCTAATTAACAGGTGTTGGTGTTCTTTAGCTCAAAAACTCCAAAATAGAAATCAGCGATTTGCAATTTTTTTTTTTTGTTTGTTAAAAAATCCAACAATCCAAATCATTATTTGTAGGTTTAAGGGTTTTTTTAGGATAGAAAACTAAAAAACCCAAATCATATATTTGCATGTTTCAGGGAATTTGAAACCATGAGATGAACGGTAATGAGATGAATTGCAGAGGTAGGTTCCATTATCTCACCATAACCCTCCAATTTTTTTAATCGTGACAAAGTCCATGACTATAGCTTCTTTTATTTCTCTCTAAAATTAATAAAAAGGAAAAGAAAAATTCATCTTGATCTATGTATTAGAGATTAAATATATGGAAATTTATAGATACTTCCTAATTTGTACTTTCTAAGCAATGCTACCTTGCCCTCCCCCCCTAAAAAAAAACACTTTTGATATTATACTATGAACCCTTGCACTTTTTCTTTTTTCTTTTTTTTTTTACAACCAACCCCGAAAGGAGGCTTTTGTTGTACTATAATACCCTCTTTTAGGCTATATTTCCCACTTTCTCTCTTCAAACAAGTGACTAACACAACTTGTACAGAGCCGATTCAACACATTTTTTTAACCAGTCTAGCTCTATATTCAACTTGTTCCGGTCCAACATATTTTTGTGCCAAACTGACACAACTTGTACAAAGCTAGTCTCGACTGACTCTATATTCAACTGTTGTCAATCTAGCACATAGGGCCTGCCTATGCAGGCAGTTGAAGTATTTGTTTTTTCCAAGGCTAATAGTTTGGCGTTGGACTAGCACAACGTGGCCTTACACATTTTTGTCCCAAACCGATACATGTTGATAATCATGTTTTGAAAAATATGGGTTAAAATGTTGGGTATTTTTATCCAAAAAAATAACTCTACTACTTGAGTACGGTTGCAAAGAAAAATACTGTTGATGTTAATAATATGGTATCAAAAGTGTTCGAGGGAGGATTCCTAGAGAGTACAAATTTGGGGGTATATTTAACTTGTGCCGGTTCGACATAATTTTTAAGCCAGTCTAGGTCTATATTCTACTTGTGCCGATCCAACGTATTTTTGTGCCAAACCGACACAACTTGTACCGAGCCAAACCGACACAACTTATACAGAGCCAGTTTGGACTTACTCTATATTCAACTTGTGATTGTCTAGCACATATGGCCTGCCTTTGCGGGCAGTTGAAGTATCCGTTTTTTCTAAGGCTAATAGTTTGGCATCTGACTAGCACAAGGTGCGCTTACACATTTTTGTTCCGGACCGACACATGTTGATAAATCATGTATTGGAAACGCGGGTTAAAATGTAGTGCATTATGATCCAAAAAAAAATAACTCTATTACTTGAGTGCATTTACAAAGAAAAATATTATTAAAATTAATAATATGGTATCAAAAGTATTCGGGTGAGGATGCCTAGATAGTAAAAATTTGGGGTTATCTATAATATTCTCTTATAAATAACTTAAAAGAAAAATTATATATAAGGTTGCACCTAAAAAAATCGTTTTGCTAACCGTTGAATTGATCATCTCAAACTTGAGATGTGTGGAGATGAAGGACAAAAAAAGCATTTAAAGTCTTCTAAATAGGGCATTGTGTAATAAGTTATCTAGACGGTGTATTTTCAATATTTTTAAGTATTTATATATTTGCACGATTTGTAGCATTTTTTGAAATTTCAAATTTCAAAAAAAAAAAAAAAAATAGATTTTAAGCCATCATAAGGTCTCAAGCATTGCAACTACATCTCCGAGAAAATTTTAGATGTACACCTTACTTCTATAGTATAAGGAGGGATCATATACACATGGAGGTTACAATTACTCATAGCCATTAAATGTCAAATTGGATAGCTTGGAATGTGTCACGAAGTTTGATAATTACTTTTTTGAACTTTGAGTTTACTCCTTGAAACTCTTACAACCACCGAATTCGTAATCCAATGGACAAGGGTGATTATGATCTCATTGTACCGAAAGTAAATACTACCTTTGTATATTTTTCCATAAAATATAGTCCAAAATAATGTTATCAGAATCGAACCACTGCTCAAATCGGCAAAGGGTTGGCCCACTTAAAACCAATCAAATCGGTTTAACTGATTAGACATTTTTTATAAAATTAAAAATTGACAATATTTTAAAAAATCAATAAAAATAAGAAAAGAATATTTTAAAAGTATTAAAAGCTTGGTTAAAAATAGAAGACTTTTTTTTCTTAAATAATCGTAAAAAAAGTTCAACTTGTGCAAAAAAATATTAAATATTGGAAGATTTTATTAATAAATTACATGAATCTAACGCCAAAATTAATACTGCTCTATAAGATATGCCTTCATTATTTATAAAGTTGAAGTGCATCGGTGAAGAAAAACTATGTGCACCTAAGTCTCCATTAAAGAGAGAGAAAAACAAGCGGCTAGAAAGAGAAGAAAATTTTAAAACAAAAAGAAACGAGCACGTATACTATGCTCCCTTGAGATCATAGTTTACTTTTACTCCCTCAGAAGACTTACTTGGGATATTTTTTTTTAATCTGAAAGTTTGGAAACCATTATAGGATCCTTAAAAAAAAAAAATCGAAAAAAAAATTTGAGTTATCTAATACTTAAATCTTCTCATTTAAGAATTGTTTTTTATTAAGCTTAATGAATGAGTTAGAGATATTACATCCCCAAAATTTGATATCTTAAAATTAATTGTAGCTGGGGTTTTTCTGCAGTGAGTAAGTGCAAATTCACTAGGGAGTATAATATTTTTGGCAAAAGAAAAACGAAGTAAAAAACTGAAGAAGGCATCCCAAAATGGTAAGTAAGAAAAACTTCCTTCTAAACCATTTAAGGTGATGATTTTTTGCCAAAATATTGAGATATTTGAGATTAAACATTTTGAAAATAAAATATCATGTGCAATAAAACAAGAAAAAAAAAATCTAGACAAAAATTAGCAATAGAGAGAGGTGAGGGGAAGATTAGGCTGCTTCATCCAAGATAATCGGCAAAACCAGTTTAACCAATCAACCATCGGTTTTAATTAGTTCAAAAAAAAAAATTCAATTTAGTGCTCATGTCGAGCAGAAAGGGGTCTTGTCAATAGTTCTACTGGTCAGACCACCTATTAGGTCTAGTTATAATAGCTATAGTCCAAAATCCACCTTAAAAATTAAGGGAAAAGTTTATATAGAGCCCAAAGCTCTAAACAATCAAATTTGAGCCTACCATAAAAATATCACTAGAAGAGGTTGTTTTGATGCTCAAATATATTCAAATTGATCATCTCGACATCAAGATGTATGCTTATGAAAACAAATGGATTTCAAGTTTTGGAATAGTGTATTTTGTAATACATTTTTGGACCGTCAATTTTCAAGACTTTCAAGTTTTCATAAATCTGTCAATCTCCGCTATTTTTGAAGCTTTAAAACTTTATAAATAAATATAAAAATATATTTTAGGTTTATCACAAAGATTTCCAATATTAAAACTACATTTGTCGACTCTATTTGAAGGTAGGCTCTAATTTGATTGTTTAGAGCCTAGGCTCTATATAAACCGCACCCAAAAATTAATGACGGAGGGGATGCATATCTACATTTGACTCCACACATAAAAACCCGCCCCACATCAAAAGGCACCGCTACTTTAAAATTCAAATTTCAAAACTTAAACCAACGGTAAAGCGCAGCACATAATGACGATATTCAAATTTCGAAATTCTCCCGCTAACTCGCCGTTAGTTCTTTTAACGTCCGTCAAGTAATGGTAAATCAACGGCTACTTGCTCATCGTTCTATAAATGGGACAACTGCTCACGACTTTACTCTCCCATGTCTTCTCTTTCACGCAGGCGTCCTCGCACACGCCTCGGTGAAGTTACTTTCTCTCTCTTGTTTTCTCCGCACTCTCTCTCCATCTCTCTCTAGAATTTCTACTTCCTCTGCGTAACTCCATCACCTGGAAAATGAGGGAGTGCATCTCGATTCACATTGGCCAGGCCGGAATCCAGGTCGGCAACGCTTGCTGGGAGCTTTACTGTCTCGAACATGGCATTCAGGTGCGATTTCATGTCCCTTTTCTTACTATTTTTGGTTGAGTGTCTTCGTATATTGAAAATCTAGGGATTAATGGCTTCATGGAAGAGTTTATTGAATAATGGACAAGTTTTTCTGGTTTTACCTGTTTTGGTGCAAATATTTTTGCTTGTGAATTGTATCTGGTAACTATGGGGTTTTATTCGCATTATTTGAAGTTTCATTAGAAAGCAATCTACATTTGTGATTTTCTTTCACCATTCTTGCATCTAAAGTTGATAACACATGTAGATCTTGATTAGGGTAGGAATCGATAGATTTGATGAAGGTTATCTGATTCCTTGCCATCATTTCTCTGTTTATTATCGCTCTCACTTAATACCTTCAGATCTTTTTAAAGCTAGGGTTTATTGGCTGGTAACTGTGGCATATGTTCTTTGCCTTGATTTTCAGTGATTTTTCTTACTTTCATTTTCATTTATAGGCACATTTTATGGATCTGACACTGCTTACTTGAGTGCTCTCCATACCTCCATCAGTTTGTTTGTCGTTTTTTTTTGCTACATTTTGTCTCCCACATTTGATATCTTTCCTCCTGTTAGAAGGCCTAGACCTGGTTTATTAATGTTTCGATTTTCATTTGATTCTGGCTATGCTTCATTTGCTTCTGCCAAAATCTGGTAAATAAACAGTGTCTAGTCTTTTCTACACTGTGCCATGAAATTTACTACTCTTTTTTTGTTCACTTGGCATCTAGTCTCCATTGTGTTCCACTTATTACTTGTTTTCTGCTACATATCTAAAAATCTTTTTTAGTCTTCTTTGCTTTCCTTTTTCTACATTTGCTTTCTTGGCTTTCCTAGGCTTGCATTGATTCCTATTCTCGGTTAATTTATCTGCTCATATTGAATTCCTTTCTAGAAATGTATTCTCAGGGGCATGAACAAATGTTTAATCTTTCACATTGTTTTTTGTATTTGTAGCCTGATGGTCAGATGCCAAGTGACAAGACTGTTGGTGGAGGTGATGATGCATTCAACACTTTCTTCAGTGAAACTGGTGCCGGCAAACATGTACCTCGTGCTGTGTTCCTCGATCTGGAACCAACTGTTATTGATGAAGTGCGCACTGGCACATATCGTCAATTGTTCCACCCTGAGCAACTGATTAGTGGCAAGGAAGATGCTGCTAATAACTTTGCCAGGGGCCATTACACAAGTAATGAGCTTTACATCACTGTTTTTCTTATGTTTCTAGCTTTCAAAAATGACTTTCTCTGCATTTATTTCTCTTATGGGATTTCTCTATTTTACTTTTTCCGTCTCTTTCTCTCTTAGGATTATCTGCTTTCCAATTCATATTTCTAATTTTTTTCTCTATTTTTTACTGTTCAGTTGGCAAGGAAATTGTGGACCTTTGCTTGGACCGCATTCGTAAGCTTGCAGATAACTGCACTGGTCTTCAGGGCTTCCTAGTTTTCCATGCAGTTGGTGGTGGAACTGGTTCTGGGCTTGGTTCCCTTTTGCTAGAAAGACTTTCTGTGGATTACGGAAAGAAATCAAAGCTCGGGTTCACTGTTTATCCATCTCCTCAGGTCTCAACTTCAGTTGTGGAGCCTTATAACAGTGTGCTCTCCACGCACTCTCTTCTTGAGCACACCGATGTTGCGGTGCTTCTGGACAATGAGGCCATTTATGACATTTGCAGAAGGTCTTTGGATATAGAGCGACCCACTTACACTAACCTTAACAGGCTAGTGTCTCAGGTAATCATTGTAACAAAAATATAGAAATGTGTCCCCTTATTTCTGTATTTCTTAGCTTTATATACTGTAATAAGTACCCATTTTATCATACTGGGTGATACACACGTACATTTTTAAACTATGTTTGTCTGCCAATTGTTGCTCCTGCAATTGCCTTGTCCCTCATTCTAAGTCATCTTTTTATTGTTACTGTCTCTCTTTCCTTCGTATGTCTGTTCTCTTTTCTTTATTACTAGATCTCTCTGTTTCATGTTCTCTTTTATTTGCTCCTAAATTCAATTTATAAAATTTGTATGTGCTCTTTCAGGTCATCTCTTCCCTTACTGCCTCTCTCCGATTTGATGGTGCTCTTAATGTTGATGTTACTGAGTTCCAAACCAACCTTGTCCCCTACCCTCGAATCCACTTCATGCTCTCCTCCTATGCCCCTGTTATCTCTGCTGAAAAGGCCTATCATGAACAACTCTCAGTTGCTGAGATCACCAACAGTGCTTTTGAGCCCTCTTCGATGATGGCCAAGTGTGACCCTCGCCATGGCAAATACATGGCCTGTTGCCTCATGTATCGTGGAGACGTTGTCCCCAAGGACGTCAATGCAGCTGTTGCCACCATCAAAACCAAGAGGACCATTCAATTTGTGGATTGGTGTCCTACTGGATTCAAGTGTGGGATAAACTACCAGCCACCCACTGTTGTTCCAGGTGGTGATTTGGCCAAGGTTCAGAGAGCTGTTTGCATGATCTCGAACTCAACTAGTGTTGCTGAAGTGTTTTCTAGGATTGATCACAAATTTGATCTGATGTATGCTAAGAGGGCATTTGTACACTGGTATGTTGGTGAGGGGATGGAAGAGGGGGAATTTTCTGAGGCTCGCGAGGATTTGGCAGCTTTGGAGAAGGATTATGAGGAGGTTGGGGCTGAGAGTGCAGAGGGTGAGGAAGATGAGGGTGATGAGTATTAAGTAATAGTGCTTGGTTTTGGACAGAGGTGTTGTGGCTTTAGAGAGATGGTAGTTTTTGTTTCTGCTTTGTTTGGTTTGTACTTGTTTTTTTTGCCAATAGTCTCATTGCTGATGGGCTATGGTTGAGAAATGGTTTGTTATGTGTTAGAGATAAATGGTGTTTCTTGGATTACTGGTAACAATACTTGAATATAACTTGATCTATTGTTATGTTATCTGTGTTTATGCCTTCTTGCCTTTTGTGCAAGTGCTATTTATGTGGTTTGGATTTTACTTTTGCACTGATTGTGCGAACCTGTGCTTCTGATCCATGTAAACTAACAAACTCTGCATACATATAAGTTGTGAGAAGATCATAAGCAATTTATTCATGTGCATGCTTTAAGCCTACATCTGTAATACATATGGTAATCTGCTTTTCTCACAGCCCTTCTTCGGTTCCTTTTTTTTTTCTTGGAGTAGGAGGGTGCTGCTGATTTTCTGGAGCATGACGCAATACTAGTTATCAAAGTTGCTTTATGGAACTTATGCTCTGCTTCTATATTACACACGTTAGGTTCAAACTTTTCCTCTGTAGCTTATTTTAAGTTTGAAAGTTTATATAAGGTTGCAACTTGAGCATGAGTTCCCAAGCTGGGAAAAGTTGGTTCAATTCTGAGTTTTGTGCTTGCATTGGTTTTATTGTGAAAGATAAATTGAGGTATACTCAATGGGATAAAAAGGACGTCTCCAAAACTCAGAGTGATTTTTTTTACCACTCATATGGTCTGAGCAACACCAGAGAAAACCTTGGCAAATATAGCACCATCCGTTTTAGGAGTTCATGATATGGGATGGCCAGCCCAACACGACAATGTTCTTATGAAAGGAATTTTGAATTTGCAAAGGTCTTCAAAATTCTTACAGTTGTACAATGCCTGTTGTGGAATAATGACTGTCAACACGACAATGTTCTTATGGAAGGAATTTTGAATTTGCAAAGGTCATCAAAATTCTTACAGTTGTACAATGTCTGTCATGGAATAAAACTATTTTACAGTTTTCTATGGTAATTATGTTGTTATTGAAAACTGTTATGGTTACGGTTAGGATAGGGACAAAAGATGGACGTACTTTTATGTCCATGTAAATCACATAATACTGATGCAGGAGGAATTGAATTAGGAGACCGGAAATTGTACTATCCCGAGGTTGATCAAATAGTGAAAGTATTGCTAGTGTGATGTGCAGTTATTGGCAACCATACTTAAGGGATTGGACGGGCCGGATGTTGAGCTATCCAGTCATCTGGTTAAAGATCCGGATAGCTGTTATTCGCCGAACATATGTAAAATGGAAAGCTTGCTTTGAATAACATATGATGACAATAACCTCTCGTGTGTCTTTCTTAGTGTGTTTCCTAAGCACCATCACCGCACATCACCTAAAAAAGGACAAAACAATGAGGTCTCTGTCTGGATCAGAATACCTAAAGGAAGGCCAAAAGATCTTACCCATTGTAAGAAAAGCCATTTTAAACTTCATAATTGGACATCCTGATTTTATGACCAGTTTTGAGTTCAGATAAATGCAGTCAAATGCATTTAGTTTTTCTCCATATCCACTAAAATGTGAAGACAGAAAATCTACAGGCCATGTAAACTAACAAACTCTGCATACATATAAGTTGTGAGAAGATCATAAGCAATTTATTCATGTGCATGCTTTAAGCCTACATCTGTAATACATATGGTAATCTGCTTTTCTCAAAGCCCTTCTTCGGTTCCTTTTTTTTTTCTTGGAGTAGGAGGGTGCTGCTGATTTTCTGGAGCATGACGCAATACTAGTTATCAAAGTTGCTTTATGGAACTTATGCTCTGCTTCTATGTTACACACGTTAGGTTCAAACTTTTCCTCTGTAGCTTATTTTAAGTTTGAAAGTTTATATAAGGTTGCAACCTTAAAATGTAGAATTAAAGATGCATCTCAAAAATCCATCGGAAAAAGGTGTTTTACTATTAAAAACCCTCTAATTGATCATCTCGACATCAAAATGTATGAATATGAAAAATAAGGATTTTGGGTCCTACAAATAGTGCATCTTGCAACACATTATCCACACCGTCCATTTTCGAGATTTTCATATATTTATAGATCTACTTGATTTTAAACATTTTTAGAGTTTAAATTTTATAATATGATATGAAAATGGATTTTGAGATAATCCTAACACCTAAAATACATATTATAATAAAATTTGGAGGTGCACCTTAATTGTATTGTTTACGGTTGCCACCTTATAGAAACCACACCCTTTAAGCTTTCCATTTTTTTTGAGGAATTTCTATTCCACTGATCACCATGAAAAAAGTTATTAATTACATGTTAGGGAACATATGACTTTAAAATCAAGTTTTCCACTTTTTTGAGAAATTTTTATTCCATTGATCACCATTAATGTAGTTACTAATTACATGTTAGGGAACATGTATCTTTTAAAACAAGTATTTCAAGGCATGGTACTCTTCTTAAATTCCTTTTCTATAAATCATTTAGGTGGATGTGCTAGTTTATATTATAGCTGATAATTTGCTTTTGATTCTCATGAAGCTCGATAAAATGAGCCAAATTATTCGAGCATATTTCCAAGACATCCTCTAATGATACCACCTACTAAGAAAGAGCTGATTAAATTAAACACATACTGCAAGGAAGGGCAATACTTTGTGCTTAGGATTGCCGAGCTGGCTGTTCTGGATTGGAATGGTTGGGTGGTTAAAATACTGGATCAAAGGGTTTTCCCCTTTCATGAGGGCTCTATTCTCTAACTTGAGCACTTTTCAAGCTTCAATTGATGGCCAACCAATCCCTATAGATAACACTTTTAATCAGCCGAAGAAGGAATATAAACAATGGAGACTTTGTACTCAGCAAATGCAGTAACAAGCTCGGATGCCTACAATCAGATGCCAACAAATAAACCTATCGTCCATTTAACCAACATCAGCAATGTACAATCCTCATTTTGAATTATTTGTTCGCAATCACATTTAGAAGTTACTGATCACATTTTATCTTTTTCACACCACAGTCTTTCTATTAGCGAACTACATCAGATCAAAGGAAAACAAGGCATATCCACTAACCAAAGGCCTCATTAAGAGAATTAATACTGCATACATCTAAGGGATAGTGATTAAACAAATTATAACATACTAATTATCGCAACCCAATTGATCAAACTGAAGATCCTATTTTATGAGGTTCAATGGTTTAAAACAAGTCATTTTGGTAGTTGGAGTAATGTATTAAGAAATTATATAACCTATCGCTAAGAATATAATTAATGGGAGTTCTCATGTAATGCGAAGAGGTTGAGTTCTTATAGATTTTAACGAGTTCATTACCTATTGTGCATCAAGGATTATAATACATAAAAACTCGTAATAATCTCACCTGTATAAGTGTGTATGTCAAGGACACTTCTATATCTATATCTGGAGAATTTATTAACCAAGGTATAGGAAAATAACCTAACAGAATGCAAAGTTAGTAGAAAATACAAAAGTGCTGAAAGATGTGAGAGCTATGCAATAGGTTCGTCAACGAAAAATTGGTCATTTTCTGATAGACATTGGCCATAATGCTAATAGTTTAAGTCTGAAAGACTCCTTTCGCCGTGCACAAACTTTTCCTAGTATACCCAGGTATACATATTTTTAATATTTAAAACTATTATGAAATAAGGAGGATTCTAGAAATTACTTCAAAACAATTAAAAATAATCAGACTAATTATTGTAAATGTTTCTGATAGACATTGGAGTTCAGAAAAAAAAACTTCTAAAAATTTTGGAGTTACTAAGAAGGAGACCTATTCGAAACTTTGGGTGTTGTTTCAGACTAGTAAAGAATTTTGTAAAAAGTCGAGAGTTTTTAAGTTTGGGAGTTTTTGGTGGTTCTTGTGTGAGTAAAGGTGTGTAGAACATGCCAAATATGTTTGATCTGTGCTGGTTAAAGTAGAACTGCAAAATATGTACATTAGACTATTGGGGAGAGAGGACATTGGGTAAATATGACAATTACTCATCCTAACTGGGGAAAGTTGAATGGTGCTTTCCAATGGTGCAAATTGTTGTATCAGTGTGTGCAAAGCGGCTGAGAGGACAACAGCATTATTTGCTCATAACCAGTGATTTAAATTTTGTACAGAATCTCCGGAATCAGATCGGAATCAAGAGGTGGGCAATTCGATTTACGAATCACCCCATTTTTTTTCTTTGAGCAATCCGATTTAAGAAGCATCAGAATCACCCCATTTTTTTTCTTTCTTTTGTTACTTGTTAGTTTTAGCTTGACCCTAGACCTGAGTTGGACCAAGTTAATCAGAATCGGACCCCTCACAATTACGGGCTTGATTCCAATTTTGCCCTGCCATAAGTATTCTACCCTTGTAAGTAGTTGAGTTATCATTTAGCCATTATCAATGCAAACTTAGACCAGAGTAATAAAATACTCTCTCTTTTACATGCAATGAACTTGTCTCAAAATCTCCTGCCATTCACTTTCATTTTTTCTTTTCAAATCCTTGTTTCAACCCTTTTTACAATATTCCTCTGAGTAAGGAATAAGAAGTATTTCATGATCATCTATTTTGAACATGGATTGTCAAAGTGATTTGAATAAATCTATTACGTATATTAGAATAAATCTATTACGTATTATTCCTTCCTCTTAGATCTCTTGAAGATGCAGCAGATTGCAAGCAATGTCTGCTTGGGGAAACAACTAGCCTATTTGTTTATAAAGTAGAGTTCATCCTCGCTGTGCAGTAGTCTAGCAGCCAGTGAAGATTCAAATCGCGTTTTCCCTAGATTTATGAGGATTTTTTGCATGAAACTTGGTAGAAACGTTCCTCATATGATCGCCTACAAGCTAAACATGACTTAAAGGGTTATCATTGCTTGGATTAAAAGCCATGAGACCTATGATAATCTGGTGAGCTGAAGAAAATAAAGAACAATAGTGGGTCAACTTGGATGCAGTATATTACGCTCATTAGTAATCCTTTTGACATGAATTTATGTAATTGGATTCCTATTTGAGTCCTTTAGAAGTGCACAAAATTTTAGCTCAAAAAAGGAACTGGCATCTAAAAGTTACATAATCTGCAGTGAAGTGTGTTCATATATGATGAGCTCGGCTACCAGTCTAGGCAGAAAACAACCAACCTGAGA